GACTCATACCCCCCCGGGGGCTCACACGGACTCATACCCCCCCCCGGGGGCTCACACGGACTCATACCCCCCCGGGGCTCACACGACCTCCTCCCCTCCCCGGGGCTCACACGGCCTCGTCCCCCCCCGGGGCTCACACGGCCTCCTCCCCCCCGGGGCTCACACGGACTCATACCCCCCCGGGGCTCACACGGACTCATACCCCCCCGGGGCTCACACGGCCTCCTCCCCCCCCCCGGGGCTCACACGGCCTCCTCCCCCCCCCCGGGGCTCACACGGCCTCCTCCCCCCCCCCGGGGCTCACACGGCCTCCTCCCCCCCCCGGGGCTCACACGGCCTCCTCCCCCCCCCCGGGGCTCACACGGCCTCCTCCCCCCCGGGGCTCACACGGCCTCCTCCCCCCGGGGCTCACACGGCCTCCTCCCCCCCGGGGCTCACACGGCCTCCTCCCCCCCGGGGCTCACACGGCCTCCTCCCCCCCGGGGCTCACACGGCCTCCTCCCCCCCCCGGGGCTCACACGGCCTCCTCCCCCCCCCGGGGCTCACACGGCCTCCTCCCCCCCCCGGGGCTCACACGGCCTCCTCCCCCCCCGGGGCTCACACGGCCTCCTCCCCCCCCGGGGCTCACACGGCCTCCTCCCCCCCCCCGGGGCTCACACGGCCTCCTCCCCCCCCCCGGGGCTCACACGGCCTCCTCCCCCCCCCCGGGGCTCACACGGCCTCCTCCCCCCCCCGGGGCTCACACGGCCTCCTCCCCCCCCCCGGGGCTCACACGGCCTCCTCCCCCCGGGGCTCACACGGCCTCCTCCCCCCCGGGGCTCACACGGCCTCCTCCCCCCCGGGGCTCACACGGCCTCCTCCCCCCCCGGGGCTCACACGGCCTCCTCCCCCCCCCCCCCGTGGCTCACACGACCTCCTCCCCCCCCCCCGTGGCTCACACGGCCTCCTCCCCCCCCCCCGGGGCTTACACGGCCCTCCCCCCGGGGCTTACACGGCCCTCCCCCCTTATCTCAGTATGTGTATCTGATATCGTAATGTTCCTGGTTATATCTTCAATGTGTGTAAAGACCAGATCTAGAATATTTCCGTTTCTAGTTGGCTCTGATATCTGCTGGTCGATATCTTGTCACTTGTCACAGAGTAAGTTTTTCTCTTAATATGTGGTTGGTTATATCCCGATATATTTCCTGGTATAATATTGTTTGCTATTCTCAGACTAGGAAGAATAGTCATCTAGGAATCATCTTAGACTTAGTCACCTAGGAAGAAGATATCAGATATCGGGTTCGCCAAATTATCGAGGCTATTTTCTAGTTTGTTTATCTGTTCTGTGAATTCCTCGGCCGTTGCATCTGGCGGTTTCTATATTAGAATAATAACTAAGATGAGTGGCGCTGCCCAATAAACTCGCCCCTCGGGGCAAAACTTAAAAAAAATTTTAACTAAGTTTATTTTCTCTATTTTTACTCCCAGTACCTCTACCACCTCATTTGTAACGTTAAGGAGCTCCGAGCATACAAGGTCTTGCCCTAATATACAGACCCACTCCTCCGTGTGACCTAATTACCCTATCACCTAATCTACCTGTATAGGTTATATCCTGTTATCCAGATCTCACTGTCCAACAATTCCCCTGCCTGGGTTTGAGAAAAGTCCAAATACAGCGTTTGACTCAGTGAGGAGGCCATTTATGAATTGTACTTTGTTGTTTGTTCGTGTTTTGAGTCCTTGTATGTTGGCAAAGATGAATGAGGTTAGTCTATTTGGGGTAGTTTGACTGGGAGACTATTTTGACAGGTCCATTATGCGTGGATATATTGAGTTTCTTCGGCCAAGTGGTGATTGTTGTCGGGCAGTTGCCTGTCCTAGTTGTAGTTCCTTATTTGGTGTGTAATTGTATCCTCCAAAGGATACCTGATCAACCAGGCTGTGACTCATACGTCAGGCTGCGAGCAGCCGCGTCCAACAGCCTGGTTGATCAGTCCAGCAACCAGGAGGCCTGGTCGACGACCGGGCCGCGGGGACGCTAAGCCCCGGAAGCACCTCAAGGTATGCAAGTGGCTCTGTCAGCCAGATCCACACACTGTTTCCCATTTTGAAATCTCTTTCAGCTTGGTATAAAGAATTAAGTTTCCTGCAAGTCCATTATCTTCCTTGCCACTGTGTAGCGCTCTGTGCCCTTCACGTGGAGGTCTGGCCAGCTGTGTAGCATTTTCTGTCTTCTAGTGAGGTCTCGCACAAAACCTACATGGTCCAAATCCACACTGACCTTTCCTACATGGTCCAAATCCACACTGACCTTTTCTACATGGTCCAAATCCACACTGACCTTTTCTACATGGTCCAAATCCACACTGACCTTTCCTACATGGTCCAAATCGACACTGACCTTTCCTACGTGGTCCAAATCGACACTGACCTTTCCTACATGGTTCCAAATCGACACTGACCTTTCCTACATGGTTCCAAATCGACACTGACCTTTCCTACATGGTTCCAAATCGACACTGACCTTTCCTACATGGTCCAAATCGACACTGACCTTTCCTACATGGTTCCAAATCGACACTGACCGTTCTTACATGGTTCCAAATCGACACTGACCTTTCCTACATGGTTCCAAATCGACACTGACCGTTCTTACATGGTTCCAAATCGACACTGACCGTTCTTACATGGTTCCAAATCGACACTGACCTTTCCTACATGGTTCCAAATCGACACTGACCGTTCTTACATGGTTCCAAATCGACACTGACCGTTCTTACATGGTTCCAAATCGACACTGACCTTTCCTACATGGTTCCAAATCGACACTGACCTTTTCTACATGGTCCAAATCCACACTGACCTTTTCTACATGGTCCAAATCCACACTGACCTTTTCTACATGGTCCAAATCCACACTGACCTTTTCTACATGGTCCAAATCCACACTGACTTTTTCTACATGGTCCAAATCCACACTGACCTTTTCTACATGGTCCAAATCCACACTGACCTTTTCTACATGGTCCAAATCCACACTGACCTTTCTTACATGGTCCAAATCCACACTGACCTTTTCTACATGGTCCAAATCCACACTGACCTTTTCTACATGGTCCAAATAGACACTGACCTTTTCTACATGGGCCAAATCGACACTGACCTTTCCTACATGGGCCAAATCGACACTGACCTTTTCTACATGGGCCAAATCGACACTGACCTTTTCTACATGGTCCAAATCCACACTGACCTTTCCTACATGGTCCAAATCCACACTGACCTTTCCTAAGTATATTTAAACATTTTTGGGATGGTGGTAACTGCATTCTAATCCTTAATTATTTCCAGCATATCTGTGTTCGCATACGCCCTTTACATTGAATTTGCATACGTCGGGGGTCAGGATATGGATTGGGGATGGGACGGGGGGAAGGAATGGTGCCCAACCACTTGTGGACGGTCGAGGGATTGAACGCCGACCTGCATGAAGCGAGACCGTCGCTCTACCGTCCACTCCAACTGAGCTGGACAGTAGAACGACGGCAGACGGTATTTTCTTTATTCCCAGGTAACAGTTAACACCATACCCAGGTAACAGTTAACACCATACCCAGGTAACAGTTAACACCATACCCAGGTAACAGTTAACACCATACCCAGGTAACAGTTAATAACCACTTGCATGAGAGTGCCTGCACCCCCCCACCACACACACCACACACACACACACCACACCACACCACACCACACACACACACACACACACACACACACACACACACACACACACACACACACACACACACACACACACACACCCACACAAACCCACACACACACACAAACCCACACACACCCACCCACACACACACACACACACACACACACACACACACACACACACACACACACCACACCACACACCCCCCCCACCCACACACCCACACACCCACTCACCCCAACACCACCAAGGTCCGCCAGGCGTGACTGTGAACCACAGCAATACACAGCCCAACAAACACACTTACTCCGGCTATAAATCACCTAACATGGTTTAGTATGAGTAATCAACTCTTAAGTGACGTGATGTTTATCGTTAGGTAATATTAGCGGTGCCACGAGGCACCTTTCCACTCCACACTATATACCTGTAGTTGTACCTTTGTTGTCCCGGAGACCAGCCCCGCCACCAGGGGGCCAGATTCACGAAGCAGTTACGCAAGTACCTATGAACCTGGGGCCAGATCCACGAAGCAGTTACGCAAGCACTTACGAACCTGGGGCCAGATTCACGAAGCAGTTACGCAAGTACCTATGAACCTGGGGCCAGATTCACGAAGCAGTTACGCAAGTACCTATGAACCTGGGGCCAGATTCACGAAGCAGTTACGCAAGTACTTACGAACCTGGGGCCAGATTCACGAAGCAGTTACGCAAGTACTTACGAACGTGTACATCTTTCCTCAATCTTTGACGGCTTTGTTTACATTTATTAAACAGTTTACAAGCATGAAAACTTGCCAATCAACTGTTGTTATTGTTATAAACAGCCTCCTGGTGCTTCCGAGCTCATTAACTGTTTAATAATTGTAAACAAAGCCGCCAAAGATTGAGAAAAGATGGACAGATTCGTAAGTGCTTGCGTAACTGCTTCGTGAGTCTAGCCCCAGGTTCGTAAGCGCTTGCGTAACTGCTTCGTGAATCTGGCCCCAGGTTCGTAAGTGCTTGAGTAACTACTTCGTGAATTTGGCCCCAGGTTCATTAGTGCTTGCGTAACTGCTTCGTGAATCTGGCCCCAGGTTCATAAGTACTTGCGTAACTGCTTCGTGAATCTGGCCCCAGGTTCATAAGTGCTTGCGTAACTGCTTCGTGAATCTGGCCCCAGGACGGACCGTTACAAGAACAGGTGGAGCTGCGCCGACACCAACACGCTCAAGGTGCCACCATATACTTACTGCTGGACTCTCCAGGCTGTGGTGGGACGCAGGAGGCACACGACCCAAACTTACCGTCTTTAAGTACCGCCGGCGGCCAAAACCCTGAGGAATAACACAAAGGAAATTACTTATGTAAACGAAACCTGACTAAGTTAATATGGTGAACACCCGTCCAGAGTTTGAACTCTGTTGAAATAAACAAGTCATATGAAAAAACTTCAGTTCAGAAATATAATGAACTTGATACAAAAGTTATACAAATTAGTGAACATCACTTAATTCTATGATGAACTTTACAAAACGTTCAGGAGGAGTTATGAACTTCACATAACTCTGAAATTTCATATCAGATATAATGAATACCACAACAGTTAGTTCGTTCGTTCGCTCGTTTGTTCGTTCGTTCGTGCTCTCTCTTTCTCTCTCTCTGTCTCTCTGTCTCTGTCTCTGTCTCTGTCTCTGTCTCTCTCTGTGTCTGTCTTTCTGTCTCTCTCTCTGTCTGTCTCTCTGTCTCTCTCTCTCTCTCTCTCTCTCTCTCTCTCTCTCTCTCTGTATGTCTCTCTCTCTCTCTCTCTCTCTCTCTCTCTCTCTCTCTCTCTCTCTCTCTCTCTCTCTCTCTCTCTCTCTCTCTCTCTCTCTCTCTCTCTCTCTCTCTCTCTGTCTGTCTCTGTTTCTGTCTCTCTGGGGCAAGGTGTGCCTATCTTTGGGGCCTTAAACAAGTGGGACCGTCCACAAGTGGTTGGGCACCATTCCTTTCCCACTGTCCCATCCCAAATCCTTATCCTGACCCCTTCCCAGTGCTATATATATATATATATATAGTCGTAACGGCTTGGCGCTTTCCCCCTGATAATCCCCCTCGATCCTGCAGACAGAAATAGGTGAATACACACACACACACACACACACACACACACACACACACACACACACACACACACACACACACACACACACACACACACACACACGAGATATAGAAGCAATGTTCACGTCATGAATAGTAGAACAAGAGACAGAATTAGAAACTGGGAAAAACAGACGCGTCACACAGATGTCAGAAAGATCTGCTACTGTCTGTGAGTCGTAAATAAGTGGACGGGACTCGACGAGGAAGCTGTTAAAAGCAATTCAATACACAACTTTACATTTAAACTTGAGAAAATGGAGTGAAGGGTGACTTGAAACAGCACGAGGGTCGAAAGGCGGGGCTTAGGAGGTCAGGCTCGAGCCTGCAGGTCAAATAGGCGAGGACAACATGGTGGCATCCCCCCCACTTTAACACACCTGGGAGCTGTGTGCCGGGTGCCGGCAACAACAGCTCATGTGAACACACGGCCAAATATAGCACAGTAAACCTAGGTAATAACTTTATGATCGCTCACGAACTCGGCATGAATTGTTGTTAAGTATACATAGTATACTCACTATACATAGTATACATCCCCAGCAGGAGCCACGGGGCTCTCCCCCAGGCCGGGAGACTCACCAGAGAGCGAGGGAGCAGCAGCTGGTGACCCCAGGAGCCACGGGGCTCTCCCCCAGGCCGGGAGACTCACCAGAGAGCGAGGGAGCAGCAGCTGGTGACCCCAGGAGCCACGGGGCTCTCCCCCAGGCCGGGAGACTCACCAGAGAGCGAGGGAGCAGCAGCTGGTGACCCCAGGAGCCACGGGGTCTCCCCCAGGCCGGGAGACTCACCAGAGAGCGAGGGAGCAGCAGCTGGTGACCCCAGGAGCCACGGGGCTCTCCCCCAGGCCGGGAGACTCACCAGAGAGCGAGGGAGCAGCAGCTGGTGACCCCAGGAGCCACGGGGCTCTCCCCCAGGCCGGGAGACTCACCAGAGAGCGAGGGAGCAGCAGCTGGGGACCCCAGGAGCCACGGGGCTCTCCCCCAGGCCGGGAGACTCACCAGAGAGCGAGGGAGCAGCAGCTGGTGACCCCAGGAGCCACGGGGGTCTACCCCAGGCCGGGAGACTCACCAGAGAGCGAGGGAGCAGCAGCTGGTGACCCCAGGAGCCACGGGGGTCTACCCCAGGCCGGGAGACTCACCAGAGAGCGGGGAGCAGCAGCTGGTGACCCCAGGAGCCACGGGGGTCTACCCCAGGCCGGGAGACTCACCAGAGAGCGAGGGAGCAGCAGCTGGTGACCCCAGGAGCCACGGGGGTCCACGCCAAGCACCCCCCAGGAAGGCCCACCACCATTCCCAAGCCAGTGTGGTGGCCGAGTAGGAGCCGTGACAGCGGCCGCTGCATACTGAGTGCATGCGTCACAACTTCTTCACACAATTCTTAGCTTATAACAAAGTGGAGGAGAGTGTGGGCCAGGATGGTGGAGGCTTACCACACCTCCAGGAGTGTGTGCCAGGGTGGTGGTGGTGGCTTACCACACCTCCAGGAGTGTGTGGGCCAGGGTGGTGGTGGTGGAGGCTTACCACACCTCCAGGAGTGTGTGCCAGGGTGGTGGTGGTGGCTTACCACACCTCCAGAAGTGTGTGCCAGGGTGGTGGTGGAGGGTTACCACACCTCCAGGAGTGTGTGTGGGCCAGGGTGGTGGTGGTGGAGGCTTACCACACCTCCAGGAGTGTGGGCCAGGGTGGTGGTGGTGGCTTACCACACCTCCAGGAGTGTGGGCCAGGGTGGTGGTGGTGGCTTACCACACCTCCAGGAGTGTGTGTGGGCCAGGGTGGTGGTGGTGGAGGCTTACCACACCTCCAGGAGTGTGTGTGGCCAGGGTGGTGGTGGAGGCTTACCACACCTCCAGGAGTGTGGGCCAGGGTGGTGGTGGTGGCTTACCACACCTCCAGGAGTGTGGGCCAGGGTGGTGGTGGTGGCTTACCACACCTCCAGGAGTGTGGGCCAGGGTGGTGGTGGTGGCTTACCACACCTCCAGGAGTGTGGGCCAGGGTGGTGGTGGAGGCTTACCACACCTCCAGGAGTGTGGGCCAGGGTGGTGGTGGTGGCTTACCACACCTCCAGGAGTGTGGGCCAGGGTGGTGGTGGAGGCTTACCACACCTCCAGGAGGCCAGGGTGGTGGTGGTGGCTTACCACACCTCCAGAGTGTGTGGGCCAGGGTGGTGGTGGAGGCTTACCACACCTCCAGGGTGGTGGTGGGAGTGTGTGGGCCAGGGTGGTGGTGGTGGCTTACCACACCTCCAGGAGTGTGGGCCAGGGTGGTGGTGGTGGCTTACCACACCTCCAGGAGGCCAGGGTGGTGGTGTGTGGGCCAGGGTGGTGGTGGAGGCTTACCACACCTCCAGGAGTGTGGGCCAGGGTGGTGGTGGTGGCTTACCACACCTCCAGGAGTGTGGGCCAGGGTGGTGGTGGTGGCTTACCACACCTCCAGGAGTGTGGGCCAGGGTGGTGGTGGTGGCTTACCACACCTCCAGGAGTGTGTGGCCAGGGTGGTGGTGGTGGCTTACCACACCTCCAGGAGTGTGTGGGCCAGGGTGGTGGTGGAGGCTTACCACACCTCCAGGAGTGTGGGCCAGGGTGGTGGTGGAGGCTTACCACACCTCCAGGAGTGTGGGCCAGGGTGGTGGTGGAGGCTTACCACACCTCCAGGAGTGTGGGCCAGGGTGGTGGTGGAGGCTTACCACACCTCCAGGAGTGTGTGGTGGGGCTTACCACACCTCCAGGGTGGTGGTGGAGGCTTACCACACCTCCAGGAGTGTGGGCCAGGGTGGTGGTGGAGGCTTACCACACCTCCAGGAGTGTGGGCCAGGGTGGTGGTGGAGGCTTACCACACCTCCAGGAGTGTGTGGGCCAGGGTGGTGGTGGAGGCTTACCACACCTCCAGGAGTGTGGGCCAGGGTGGTGGTGGTGGCTTACCACACCTCCAGGAGTGTGTGTGTGGGCCAGGGTGGTGGTGGAGGCTTACCACACCTCCAGGAGTGTGGGCCAGGGTGGTGGTGGTGGCTTACCACACCTCCAGGAGTGTGGGCCAGGGTGGTGGTGGAGGCTTACCACACCTCCAGGAGTGTGGGCCAGGGTGGTGGTGGAGGCTTACCACACCTCCAGGAGTGTGGGCCAGGGTGGTGGTGGAGGCTTACCACACCTCCAGGAGTGTGGGCCAGGGTGGTGGTGGAGGCTTACCACACCTCCAGGAGTGTGGGCCAGGGTGGTGGTGGAGGCTTACCACACCTCCAGGAGTGTGTGTGGGCCAGGGTGGTGGTGGTGGCTTACCACACCTCCAGGAGTGTGGGCCAGGGTGGTGGTGGAGGCTTACCACACCTCCAGGAGTGTGTGTGGGCCAGGGTGGTGGTGGTGGCTTACCACACCTCCAGGAGTGTGGGCCAGGGTGGTGGTGGTGGCTTACCACACCTCCAGGAGTGTGGGCCAGGGTGGTGGTGGAGGCTTACCACACCTCCAGGAGTGTGTGTGGGCCAGGGTGGTGGTGGTGGCTTACCACACCTCCAGGAGTGTGGGCCAGGGTGGTGGTGGAGGCTTACCACACCTCCAGGAGTGTGTGTGGGCCAGGGTGGTGGTGGTGGCTTACCACACCTCCAGGAGTGTGGGCCAGGGTGGTGGTGGAGGCTTACCACACCTCCAGGAGTGTGTGCCAGGGTGGTGGTGGAGGCTTACCACACCTCCAGGAGTGTGTGGGCCAGGGTGGTGGTGGTGGCTTACCACACCTCCAGGAGTGTGGGCCAGGGTGGTGGTGGTGGCTTACCACACCTCCAGGAGTGTGTGTGGGCCAGGGTGGTGGTGGTGGCTTACCACACCTCCAGGAGTGTGGGCCAGGGTGGTGGTGGAGGCTTACCACACCTCCAGGAGTGTGTGCCAGGGTGGTGGTGGTGGCTTACCACACCTCCAGGAGTGTGGGCCAGGGTGGTGGTGGAGGCTTACCACACCTCCAGGAGTGTGTGTGGGCCAGGGTGGTGGTGGTGGCTTACCACACCTCCAGGAGTGTGGGCCAGGGTGGTGGTGGTGGCTTACCACACCTCCAGGAGTGTGGGCCAGGGTGGTGGTGGAGGCTTACCACACCTCCAGGAGTGTGTGTGGGCCAGGGTGGTGGTGGAGGCTTACCACACCTCCAGGAGTGTGTGTGGGCCAGGGTGGTGGTGGAGGCTTACCACACCTCCAGGAGTGTGGGCCAGGGTGGTG